AATGGCTGCAGGGTAGATACAGCCTACCCTCAGAGGACAAATTCAAGTTTAGTCAGCATCAAGGCTGATTTGTGGCATTTCTAAAGATGATGTAGCTTGTCCGTGAATTATTATTATTTTTTAAAATCTAGGTCATGTTCTGAAGAACATTTTCTGCAGATTAGTTACACCTAACACGCTTCTCTTGCCACCCTGTTGTATTTGCAACGCGGGCGGCAAGAAGGATGGTTTTATCCCTCCAGCTTTTTACATATGTGTGCTTATAGTAGGTGGAGGGTGGTTTCTCATCGGGGTGAGCGGGTCTGGTTGTTCAGGACTAGCGCAAGAGTGACAGGACATTCCCAGCCACCTCGTGGCAGAGGGGGAGCTGTGTCTCCATGATGGAGCATCGGCTTTGCACACACCCTCTCTCTTCCATTCCACCTGGAGATCTTCTGTTTCAAAGGCAGCAGGCTGACTGAGTTGGGAAAGACCGCTTTCCACGACTCCTGAGTTGCCGTTTCTAGTCAGGAGCCTGCAGGGTCAAGTTGGAGGAACCCACTGTTGACTTGGGATTAAGGTGATAGGGGCGGTCACCTCCTCTGGCCCCATGTCAGAAAGAGCCTGGGAATCTTTTACGTATCCTTCCCCTGAGCAGAGGGCAATGTTTTTCATCCTGTGAAGCTTGCTTCCAAGAAGACGAGGAGAAGTCACATCCCCACACGTCTAAAGGAGATATTTGCTTAAGATTTGACAAGGTGCATAGAAACAGTTGCAACATACACAGTTGCAACATACACACAGAGGTTATAATGGCCAGAATCCTATGAGGGCGGGAGCATAAATTGCAGTGGCAATTTGCTGCTAATTAATGAGTTTCTACCTGGATTCCTTGTTGCACGCCTTGCCAGAAGACTATTGCCCAATAGTCTTCTATGCCTTCTGGGAGAAGGGCCAGCCTGGGTGGCCTTGGGCAAGCTGCATGGTAGTCCCAGGGCATTCTCAGAAGAAGGGAAGGGGAAACCACTTCAGAGTACTGTCTACCTAGGAAACCCTGAAAATGGTCACCATAAGCCAGAATTGACTGGACGACACATAGTTATCAGCTGGCTGGATAGCTCAATGGTTTAGGTCTCTGGCTACAGAGCCAGAGTTTGGGAGTGTGATTCCCCCCCCACTGTGTCTTCCATGAGAAGAGCCAGCCTGGGTGGCCTTGGGCAAGCTGTAGAGTCCCAGAAATGCCCTCAGAAGAAGGGAAGGTGAAAACCACTTCTGAGTCTTCTCTACCTGGAAAACCCTGAAAACAGTCACCATGAGTCTTGACAGCATATTATTATTATTGTTGTTGTTGTTGTTGTTGTTGTTGTTGTTGTTGTTACCCTACCATTTCTTTTTTTCTGTGAGAACCTGATGCGTTTTAGTGATAGCCATTGCCAGGAGAAACCCAGCTGTGGCGGCCATAACCAAGTTATTGGATGGCTGTCTCTGCCTGTGTGCCTCGAGATTTTTCCCAGCTGCGAAGCGTGTGACCGTGAAGCCTCTGGTGACTGCGACGTGCTCGGAGGGCCACCGGACAGTCAGGACCGGCCACCGAGGCGGGCGGGCGGGTTAAATATATTTTTGTAAATTTATATAATGCATTTAATTTTACTGGATTTATAGAATTCAAGTCCAATGCACCCTCTAAAACATTGTTTTCTTTTATATTTTTCATATTAAACAATAGCAAGTGTTTCGGTTTTTGCTGAAATACAAAAAACAAACACTAGAGCTTGGACCACAGATGAACCATCCTGGCTTCAGAGCGGTTTCTATTTTGGCGTGCTGCTGTTTTTAAACTTGTGTGCCTACGACGCACCTACCTCGAGAGAGAGAGCGAGAGAGAGCGGCTGGGTGCCAAGTGGAAATCTCAGAGCTTTTGCCCAAAAGGAGCAGAAACACCATCAGTGCGGGGGTTATTAAAACCTGCCTGGGAAAGACGCACCCCTGTTTTATTCGTGAACACCTTCCCCCTTTTTTATTTTAAAACCGAGGGACGGCCTCTGCTTGTTTCCCACCTCCCCGAGATGGCGAGGCTCCCCCTTTTTAATTTTAAAACAGAGGGGCGGCCTCTGCTGGTTTCCCACCTCCCCGAGATGGCGAGGTCGCCAGAGGTGGGGTCCTGAGGATACGGAGGCGCGCAGAAACGAGAGCCGAGGCGCAACCTGGATCCCCCGCGGAGCCCGGCTGCCCCGATGGCCCAGGATCGCTCGGGAACCTTGCGCTCTCCAAAGTCAAGGCAGCGGATGTGAATCCTGCGAGCGCAGCCCCGGCCCTGCTCCTCGGAGCGCCTTTCCCCTTTCCTCCCTCCTCTCCCGGCCCCTCCCCTCTCGCCGACCATCCTCCTCCTCCTCCTCCTCCTCCCCCCCACCTGGGGGTTTCCGCCGCCTCGCGCAGCCCCGAGGACAGCAGCAGCAGGAGGGGGGGGGGAACGACCGAGCCGCCGAGGAAGTAAGGAAGCAAGCAACCAGCCACGCGCATCCACCCACCCATCCATCCACCCACGCGCGCGCCTGCCTGCCTGCAGAGAGGGGAAACCAGGCTGGCTGCTCCCGGCCGCGCACCCTGCGCTCCCGAGGCCGGGATCCAAGGGCGGTGGATCCTCTTTCTACCCCCTTGCGTCTGGATCTCCCTGCCTGGCCCCGGAGGAGGCCGAGACGGGATCCTCATGGGATGAAACGCGGGGCTTGGCACCGAGACCGCTGCCCTTGCTCTTGCTCTTGCGAAGAATCCCGGGTTGACGTCAGACCAACATGCAAGCCTGCAAAACAACCGGCGACCGAGCGGGGCTGAGGACCCGGGCGGGTGGATGCTCGGCGGCGGCGGCTGCCTGCCCAGAGAAGGACGCTCGTGGGCTTCAGGCTGATGATCGCCGAGATCCGGAGCTGCTGCTGCTGCTGCTCGGCTCCCTCCTTCCCGCTGCGAGCGCCTTGCTCTCCTCCCGCGAGGGAGAGCCCGCCCGGCCAACATCTCCCCGCTAGTTTGACGGGAGCCGCCGCCGTCTTGGGCGCAGGGCGGTCCGAGCACGTGAAGATCGGGGACGGCATGCCTGGGTCGGGGAGGAGCCCGAGACCGAGCCTCGCCGGGAGACGGGCTCATCCGTGAGGCCAGAGGTCGAGAGGGGACCATGGGTGGGAGGCAGGTCAAATGGTGAGCCTCTCCGGTGGGGGCCCTCGCCCTGATTTCACTCTCGGTGCGGCCCGGGAGGGAGGGAGGGAGGGCAGGATGGGGGAGAGCAGGTGGTTTGGGAAAACGGGCAGGATGAGGCTGCCTGGCTTGCTAGGACCCACGCTGCCGCCGCCCCCGCCGCCCTGGTCTTTCATTTGCTGCTCAAGGAGGTGATGTTTTCCTTTCCCCTTTTTTTAAGCGAAGGCATCAGGCGAGACTGGAAGGAATTACGCAGAGCGGTTTCCCTGCACCATAAAAAAAAATTCCTGCTGGGATTGATTTAATTTTACAGACTTAATTTCTCTGTGTTTCTCATGTGGGGGCGATGAGCTGGGATTTTTAAAAAAGGGGAACCAAAAATTTCCACTCCCTTGGGAAGGGTTGCTCAGACTATAGGTATTCCGTTCCCTGCAAAACGGGTTCATGAGCCGAATGCCGGAGGAAGGGACCTTCGGCTGGGCCCTTGAAGGCTGCGCAGGTGTGCCCTCCTCCAAGGTGTTGGCTTGCCTTTTTTGGGGGGAATGGCCAGAGGCCTCTTCCTGACCGTTCAGGAGCCCATTGAAAATGTTGGCAGAGACCGGCTGGCGTGGTGATCTCGTGGACTGCAAACCTGAAACCATCTCTGTCTGTTAGGTTGGTCCTGAAATCCTGCTCTGTCTTCCTCCTGATCAGGTGCTGGGCAGTCTGTATTAAGCCCAAGGTATTTATTTAAAATTTAGATTGGGGATAAGCATCCTTCTGGACAGAAAGGACGACTCGTTTCTTTGGTGTAACATTGCCAGAGGTCTGCTCCCCACCAGTGACCAGCATCCGCTTGGTGCCACTCTCTCCTGCTTCCACCACACTTCACGTTGGCTGAGGTTGCCACCTGCTTAGCTGGCTTTGCTCCTGTGCCTTGAGCACAAGAGCCTCTGATCTGCAAAAACGGAACAGGGGACGGTCATCCCAGGGTGCAGTTAAGGATACTGTAGAAAAAAATGAGAAAGAAAGAAAATAAAAACAACCCTCAGTGCCTTCAAGCTGCTTAAAGGCAGAACGTCAATGGTGGTGTAGGGTGATAATCTGGCCATCAGATGATTACCGTCTTTATGTCATCATTTTTTTTAAAAAAAGGAAGGTCACCAGGTTGATGATTCTTGATATCATGACTTTAAGCAAAACCTGAAAGCGACAGGCACCCTTCTTTTGTGGTTGGTCTCGAGCACCTGTTTCTTCCTAGTCATACTGTGCTGGTGCATGGAGGTTCCATTTTTCTATTGTGGCCAGTCGGTTTGTGCTTCCGGAAAGAGGCAGAATTGTACCCTTGTGGGTGTGAGCTGTGCTTTTCCAGTATACCTGGTCCTCACATCATGGGCCAGACTCCTTGCTTTGCTGATTCCTGTATGCTTATATTGATCGCATGGTTGAACAGCACAGCCCAAAACCAGGGGCAGATCGGAAGGTACCCTCCTTTCTGCCCTCCTGCTTTGGGATGCAGCTTCTTGCAATTCTGGCTTGGTTGCCGCTGGCTCAGCACATCATGGCGTGGTGAAGCTGCATCAGCACCGCTTAGTCAATAGAGCGAGCGGAACTTCTGAATAATTCTGCTCAAGATCCTTTCAAATAAGCGCTCGGTAAAGCATGCTTGGAACAGGTCATCTTTAGCTAAAGTTTGGGAGATGTTGTGTGTGTGTGCGCGCGTGCACATGCGCTAGTGTGCATGTGTGTACATGCATGGGTACTCCTCCACCCATCGCCATTCCAATGGTGAGGCTCAATTCAAAAGGGCTGGGAAGATGAGGAACATTTCTTGGGGGAAGTCTCCATTTTTGTTTTTAATCTCTTCTGGTTTTTTTCCCTTTTGTTTTGCTCTAGCTTTTGTTTTTTCCTCTCTCTCTCTCTCTCTCTCTCTGGGAAAAATGATACATTAACTCTTACTCACATTGGCAAGAAGGAATTCTTTGGGGACGTGTTAAATGGGTCAGTGAGTTTCAGATGCCTCTTGTTGTCTGGGTGATGGATACTGGAAGGATTTCAGGCGGGGGGGGAGGAGGAAGAGAAAGTTGAGGGGCTCGGCCCCGCAAGCAGCTGGAATGACTGAGATTGGAAAAAGAAAGAAAGAAAGAAAAACAGGAGATGGAGTTCAAGGACTGACTGGCCAAATCATGAGCTGGTGTCTTCGTCCTCATGGGAATTCAGTTTGCTAAAAATACTGTATTTGACCTCTGGCTGCAGTTGCACAGTGCCCTTAGAAAGAAATAAAAGCAGATGAGAGACGGGCTTTTATGGTTATTAGTAGTTTCCAGATCTTAAGGAAAAGGAATGCACTGGGACATGTCTGTAAGCAAAACTTGTGATGCACAGCATAGGAAACATCCTGTGGCTTTTAAGATACAGACTGGTCTTTCTGAACGTCTCTCTGGGCGTTTGTGTGTATGTGGGTGCATTCTGATGGCTCCCTCTAGGTATAAATAAGGTAGCTGAATGTATACACAAATGTAGGTGTACATCATCATCACAGGTGAGTCAATTGGGATTCTTCCTGCCTTGCTGGATTACAACCCCCATCATTCTCTAGCCAGTGGTGAGGAAATATGTTGCAGCCACCAGTGGTAGGAGGGGAGGGGGACAGGTGGGATCCGGAAGCCACTGACGATGAGCAAAGTGTGGGAGATAAACAACCTCCTTCATGCAAAGCATCACAGATTTCTCTCCATTTGCGCATTGGCGCTTTTCTGCCAAGTTTGCCAAAGTGAACTTCCAGTGGATGATAATGTTTTAAATTATTGGGATAGTGTTATTCCTATCAGTTCTCCATCTGTCCTGACTGACAGTCACACCCCGTTAACTTTCCAGTCAGTCCGTCAACACGTAGACGCTGCGGTGTGAGGTAGCCGAATGTCTTCCATGCTAACCCTATCTCACACGTCGAAGTGAACGAGAAATGCGATCCTGGCCTGTGAGCCCTGAAGTGTGTTTTCTTTTGTTATGCTTCCTCACAGCCTCACCTCGCCTAGCCCCATAAACAGTGCAAAGAGTGAGTCCAGTGCCACACCTTCAGAGGAGAAGGCAGGATTTGACCTCGTTCGTGAAGAAGGTGACAGTAGAACAGGTAGGGGAGCAAAGGGCGTGGCTGCCGGTGGGCCTGGCTGGGGGTTTTGGGGGTGGCGCGCGCGTGTGTGTGTGTGTGTGTGTGTGTGTGTGTGTCAGTGTCAGTGTCAGTGTCAGTGTCAGTGTCAGCTGTGTGTGGTTCTCCGGCAAAACAGACATGCCCCATCTCAGAATCACTTGCTTCTTGTCTTAGGACTGTGATTTCCACTGATACACATATGAAGCGGTAATGCTCTTACGATTAATCAACTTAACATTTTTTTAGAATCGTATGATATCCCCTACTTTTGATTGCCATATTTGGGGGAAGGGACACAATCAGGAGATTTGAACACGGGGCTCCCTAGTCTTCATTTGGTTTGGTAGCCATTGCACTGTCCCTTCCAAGCTGATAATTCAAATTTGTGTTACAAAGCACTTGTTGTTGTTTAGTCGTTAAGTCGTGTCCGACTCTTCATGACCCCATGGCCCAGAGCACGCCAGGCCCTCCTGTCTTCCGCTGCCTCCCGGAGTCGGGTCAAAGTCATGTCGGTCGCTTCGATGACCCTGTCCAGCCATCTCATCCCCTGTCGTCCCCTTCTCCTCTTGCCCTCACAGTTTCCCAACATCAGGGTCTTTTCCAGGGAGTCTTCTCATCTCATGAGATGGCCAGAGTATTGGAGCCCCAGCTTCAGGATCTGTCCTTCCAGTTACAAAGCACAGCTGGTCTTATAAACATCTTTTTTTTTAATGTGCTCTCTGTAGAGACATCAGTTTCATTGTGGAGGCATTTCAGACTCCAGAGCGTCTTGGATGAAGTCAGAAATGGCAGGAAGGGGCTCCGTGTAGAGAGGGTGGGAGTTTAAGGCCAAGACCCATCTCATGTGAAGTCTGAAAATGGCTGGGACCGATCTGTAATGATCTCTGGGAGACTCATTTAGCTATGAAAAGGAAAAAAAAGGGTCCCGGAGAAGAGCCTTGTTGGTATTCATAGAGGAGAGAGGGAAGCTTTGTCATTAGATCAAGCAGACGTGGGTGTGGGGAACCGTCCAGACAAAAGCCTGAAATCGCCTGTCTGGGTTGAGTCTGAATTTGCAATGCGCAGAAACTGGATGGAGCCTGGGAAAAGGGGGTCTGGAGATCTTTGGGTCCCCCTCCCCAGTCATTTGAAGTGGCCTTTTGGAAAGGATTACATAGGAAAAATAATAATAACAGTGTTGTGTCGTGTTTCTGTAAACTTTTGGTAAGCATTTGATGCCGTTTAGAACTTTGTTTTCTCATTCATTGTTCCAACCAACATGTAAAGCAAACATTTGTTAGGTATGGGGATCCTCAGCTCAATCCCCACACCAAATACATGTTTACATGCAAGGCTGGGATCTGCCTGCCTGGGAGCATCTCTGATCGAGTTGGTTTACAACTGCGTTGAGGTTTCAGCCAGAGGCTTCTGGGCAGACAATTTACTCAGAAGTAAATCTCATAGATTTCAAGGTACAATTCAGAAGTTATTGTGCACGGGATGACCACCTGAGCCTTTATATTGGCTTTTCGGAGTCTTAGCCGTTTCTGCCTAATCCCAAGGAAATGTTCTTGCCTCCAAAAAGCCCTCAAAGCCGCTTACCATGAACCAAAACAGGTGCAATTGAAACATAAAGTTCATATAAGCATAGAAGATGTGAAACATTATTTTAAAACACACCAGTAAACACAGCTGGTGAATTTTTGACACCAGAGGGACTTGCTATGGCCCTGGCTGGAAAGCAGTCGTGTTGCTGTTGTGTCTTGTGTCAGTCAGCACTCGGGCAGTGGAGGAGAGGCTTTGCAAAGAAGCCGGTGGCGGTCCTGGTGCAGCGAGAGTTGAGAGTGTGTCTACACGACACAGTTAGAGCAGTTTGGGGCTACTTAACTGCTGCGGTGCCATCTTAGGGAGTTCTGGGACACCTAGTTCAGGGAGGTGGTTACAGAGAGTTCTGGGTACCTCACCAAACTATCAATCCCAGGATTCATGAGGATGGTACCATGGCTGTTAAAGATGCGTCTTACTGCTGTAAGTGTGTGGTGTGGGGACCTTGGTTTATCCAGCATAGTATCTTTATCTCTCTGCTTGCAGTGAGGTTTTACTTTTTTGCCCACTAGATGTTTTGGCTGTGCCTCATTGTTGCTACGTGTCATCAAGCCACCTCTGACTTACGGCGACCCTATGAGGGAGCGACCTCCCAATGCTCCTGTCCTCCACAGCCCTGCACAACCCACACAGCGCATGCCTGCAGCTTCTTTTAAAGTGTCGGCCCATCTCAGATGTGGTCTTCCTTGTTTCCTCTGCTCCTTCGACTTTTCCCAGCATTCTTGTCTTTTCCACCTTTGGAAGGCTGCTGTTAACAGAAGAGGTTGATGTTGAAGAGACCGACTCTAAGATGCTCAGTCTAACGTCTCTACCCTCCAACATCCTCCCCCTGCCCCCCCTCCAAGCCTCACCGTGTCTCTTTCAAATGCAGAGAAAACCCGAGGGGGGTGCCCGTCTCAAGTTGTTCAACGAGCTTGTTGTTCCACTTGCAGAAGAGTCCGGCTCCTTCTTTCCCCCCGAATGGCAAGCGAAGGGTCCTGCCACGAGCTTAGAGCCGCCGTGGGAAGAGCAGCTTCTGGAACAGCAGGATCACTTGGAAAAAGAAATGGAAGAAGCCAAGAAGATGATTTCTGGACTGCAGGTACTGGTTGCCTCCCTTTCCTCTTTTCTTTTTCTCCCATTGCTTTGCCTGCTTTTTCAGGAGCCAGGTGTCGTTTTTGGTCCTGCAAATGAAGCGGCAGGTGAGGTTCCCGAGTGGTGAGTTTAGTTCCGGGCTGGACCAAAAATTTCATGCAACGTTTGGGAAAAAAAGTCACTTGCGGCCAGTTTATTTATTGGTGATGTTTCTATCCCGCCTTCCTTCCAAGACCGCCTATGTGCCTCTCCTCCTCCTCCTCCTGGCTTTACAAAGAGCAGCCCTGGCCGGTCGGTCGTTCAGTCTGGGAGGAGGTAACGGGGGGCCCCTGGCCTATAAGGTAGTTTCATGGCTCCGTGGAATGAACAGCCTGGCGTCCCAACTCTTCCCTGCCGCGCCTTGTCTCCTTCCGGAGGAGGATCCTGAAGTGGCTCTTGCTTCTCTCACTTCACTACTAATTACTGGAATGGAGCTGCCTGACTGCGTCAGCGTGGCAGGCGTTTCCTGGGGGAAGAAGGCTTGATGTAATTTGCTGCCCCGTGGTAGTGACGGAAGGAGGCACCATACTAGAGTCACAAGTCATGACTTTGGAGGAGATGCAGGGAGTTCTCTAAGATACAAAGTGTTGGGAAAAGGGGATCTTCCCATACCGGGCGTGTGATCCCCAGTGAACGAGGTCCAGATTGTGTGTATCGAACGGGTGCCAAGCCCCATGTTGTTGTGCTAAAAAGAGGGAGAGAAGAGACACGCAAAGAGGCTGATCAAGGAGAACTGGGAATGTGTTTACAAGATCTCCTGTTTCTGGAAAGGCTGGAATTTAAGTGACTGGCATTTGAGGCCACAAGGAATCAGAGCCGTTTACTGTTTCAAAAGCCTAAGATGCACCAGGATCAAAGGGCCACCTCATGAAACCCTCTGGTGATGCAGGAAATCAGCTGGTCAAGCAAATGGCTATCTTCCCCCCAATGAAGGAGAGGCCGCCCGCTCCAGGGGTAATCCCTTCCCAGCGACAAACCACTGGCAAGCTCTTCCTAATGCTGGTGGGAGCTACTGAAACCCTCTGAGCACATCTGCCCTCATCTGGTTTTAGAAGCTAAGCAGAGGTTTGGGCAGCCGGGCCACCAGTGGATCCCCTGCCCCTCCAGACAGGGCTGAGAAAGAATCCTAGCTGAAACCGTGGAGGGCTCTGGGGCTGCCAGCCAGGATGCCCAAGATCTGACTCCGTAGATAGCTGCTTCCAGTGATCCTGCCTGCGTTGCATTTTGCTCATCTTGTGGAGGGCTCTGTGGCTGCCAGCCAGGCTCGCCAGCGCCTGGCTCGATGGATGCCCAAGATCTGACTCCGTCGACAGCTGCTTCCAGTGATCCTGCCTGCGTTGCATTTTGCTCATCAGATGTCCTGCATCTGCTCTCTCCCCCCCCTCAACCCACCCCAGCTACCTGTTCCACCCTCTCTTGTGTTGCCCAGGCCCTCTGCCCCCTCCTGGCAAAAGAGTCGTGACTCTCCAGGACAGCCCAGCTTGTCTGTTTGGGCAACCGCACTGGCTTTGCATCACAAAAGTTTATGTTGGAATAAACAAAGCTGGCCTTGTGCTGAGCACATCGCTCTACAGACGGCCAGCCGAGGGACAGAGGGCTTTAAGAAGGAGGGAAGGTTTGCTTGGTGCACTAGTGAAATTTGGTTGCCCCGGTGCCTCCCCTGAGACGGGTGACACCCCTTCTTTCTTCTGCTTCTCCTTTTGTGCTCTGGGAACTAAGGGAGGCAGCTGGTATGCCCGAGGGCAGCTGCCTGGCATGGCTGCTCTTCCCTCTCCCAACAGGAGGAAGGAGGCGGGTGATCGCACTGCCCAGGAGACTGAATTTGAATAGCCTGTCTTCCCCTTTAAAGCCTCAAGATCTGATGGGGGCGGGTTGAGGTTCCAGGGCTTAGCGGGGCTCCGTTGGGAAACCCCGACAAAGACACACACACACACACACACACACCTGAGTAGCTGTCCTGCTGGGCACACTTGGGCAGCCCTTGGCAAGAGGGGTTCCAGATGGGCCTGGCTTTCTGCCGGGGTCACCCCCACTCCAGCCTGCAGCCGGCCACTTGCGCGTGTATAAAATAGCTTTTCTGCAGTTCCAGAGCACCGACAGGCAGGCAGCGTGACACAAACGCACAAGAGAAGGTGATGCCAGCAGGGCGATTCCTAACCTTTGCTTTGTGGTCTGGGTCAGAGAAAATTCGTTCTTCAAAACGAACTCCTGCTCCCTCTCTAGGCAGCTTCCCTGTCTAAATTTCTGCCAGCTTCTAAATTTCTTAGAGTAATCTCCACTCCAGAATAGGAATCACTATCTTAAGGCGCAAGAGCTGGCCGCATCGCTTTCATTTATATCATCCCCTTTATCTGTGAAATTCAAAAGGAAGCCGACGTCCCCTGCCCAACTCCGTCATGGGGAATGGACGGTCTTGGAGGCTGCTGAATGCTGACTGATTGTTTTGTCAGGAAACCAATACACCAGGGCGGGAGTGGCATGCCTTAAGGGACTGGCTGGCTAGTGCCATGAGCAGCCATTGCAGTTTCTCAAGAGACAGGAGATGTGAAGGTCAGTTGGACTAGGGGGGGGGAAAAGCTAGAACTAGCTGAGAGATCAGAGGTATAAAAGTCATTTCCTAACCTCCCAGCCCTTCTGCAATCTGAAATAGTTATCCGCCGGGAGACCTAAGCTTTTTGTCTACGTTGTTCTGTCCTGTGTCTGCAGACTTGAGCCCCCCCCCCAACAAAAGGGCATTGTCTGACACATCCCTCCCCCTTTGAGGTTTGCTCTCCGAGCTAGAACTAGTTGAGAGATCAGAGGTATAAAAGTCATTTCCTAACCTCCCAGCCCTTCTGCAATCTGAAATAGTTATCTGCCGGGAGACCTAAGCTTCTTGTCTACGTTGTTCTGTCCTGTGTCTGCAGACTTGAGCCCCCCCCCCAACAAAAGGGCATTGTCTGACACATCCCTCCCCCTTTGAGGTTTGCTCTCCGAGGATAGAATCCAGCTTCATGCCATTGTCAGCCCAGGGCACAGTGCTCCTTCCAGCCAGATCCCCTCCAGGTCAGGTCGGGTTTCGTTTCTGATGTGTTGCCATGGAGGCACTTAACGAGGCATCTCCTTTGCCTTTTCTGGTTTTGCCAGGCCTTGCTGCTCCGCGGATCACTCCCTGAGGACGAGCAAGGGAGGTTGTTTGTCCTCTCCGAACAGGACGCCTGCCCTGAAGAGCAGCTGGTGAGTGGGAAGAAGGGCTTTTCTTCTTCTGAACATCCGGACGGAGACTTCTGGCGCGCGCTGCTTCTTCTGTGCGGGGGGCGGTCAATAACCGCAGCCTTTTTCATTTAGATCATAATCCGAAGCCGACTAGACCAGAGCATGGAAGAGAACCAGGAGCTAAAGGTAAGAAGCAGGCGGTTAGACGGGAAGGGAGATGCTTCTTTGGCTTCCTGGGCTAGTGACTTATGGGTCATGGCTGTTTGGCGACGGTCTTTGGAATCAAGGCAATAAGGGTCCTGGTAGTCTTTAAGGCCGCCTTTAATTCCTCGACTGGGGTCTTCCACAGGTGTTGATGGGTGTTTTCCTTCAGCACCTCTGGAGGGCAACAGAGAGACGGACTGCAGCAAATCCGTGCCTTGTGGTGGTGGGAGCTGGTGGGAGCTGAGCTTGACATTCTGCTCTTAAAATGTCGGCAGCTGTTTTTTCGATCTGTCATCTAAAAGCGGGCGATGAGTGTCGACAAGTAAACAGCATCAGGGACGGGTGAAGTGAATTGGAAGGAGAGAGAACGTTTGGCTTGGTTGCATGTTGTGGCTCTCACCACAGTGTTATTCCCCTGCTCCCGATCAAGGAGTGCCACGTAGAGTGGTCTGGTAATCCAGATAGGAGGGGTATAAATCAAATAAATAAATAAATAAATAAATAAATAAATAAATAAATGGAAATAAAAATAGCTTTTTTCAGGGCGTAGTGCAGGGGGACCATGCCAGCATTGTGGGGACCCTCGGATCTCAGCACAATTATTTTAGCTTATTATGTAGTGGAAACAAGGGTTTCTGTAATTCAAATGACCTTTTTGGCACACTTCCAGGGGCGGTTCTGAAGGGCCTGTGGTGCTTGGAGTCTCCATCCCCCAAGCCCAGACCACCTCACTGGTGTTCTGAAGAGAGCTACCCTGAACACCCTTCCTCTTTTCACGTTGATCACGGCTATAGTGAACAGCAAGGAACAAGAGCGAGGCTAGGAGATTTTATCTTTTGGATCTCTGTGCCACCCACTGGGGTTGGGAAGACAGTGGCGCCAATCCATCGGACCCACGCTGGTTCTGAACCTGCTCAAGCTGGCAGAGACCAGGTCTGGATGGTGTGATCCAGACCTGTTAAAGGGCATTCAAAACCACAGCACAAAGGGTCACGCGAGAAGAGCTCTTTGCAAACAGCTGATTTTTCAGACTTTCTCATTGAGAGCGAGACATTTCTAATTGTCCTGGGTTGCCTCCTGTGGTTGTTTCTACTCAGATTTTTATGAAAAGGAAAGGAGGGGAAAGAAAGCCCACAGAATCCTTGCTCAACAGCAGAGTAAAGTAAGCCCAATTCTGTTGTGTAGGTTGCTCAAGGTAGCCTTGAAGTCTGATCATCCTGGAAAGTTGCAGTCTATTTGGAGAGCTAACCAGGGCAATGGTTTAAGATTTCTAATCATGTCTGAACACACTCTCAGTGGCGAGATAAAAGCCACTCCAGGACAGGAGGGGGAGGAGAGGAAAAACCTTCGGTTCTGTCATGGCTGTCTACCTCTTCTGGGGCCTGTGCAGAAGTTGGCTGTGAGCCCAGAACTCTGGCTGGAAGCTGACGCCTCAGCGCCAGGCAGAAAGGGCGGTTCGGGGCGGGTGGGAGGTAGGGGAATGATGGTTCTCTCGTTGGCTGATGCCGCTTAATGCCAACTGCTTAAGGGAGCAGGAGGTGCCCAGGGCTGGGTATTAATTAACGCCTTACTTTCTTAACTATTGGTTCCTTCAGACTTATTGAAGCAGGCTCAAAAATAAAGGTATCTGGCGTTTAGGCATGAGAATTCAAGAATTCTCTAACTCATAAGGAGGAGTTAAGATAAACTGCAGGAAGAGGACGGGAGAGAGAGAGAGAGAGAGAGAGAGAGAGAGAGAGGATGTTAAGATGGCGAGGCTGAGATGTCATTGTAACCTGACTTGATTGCATTTGCAGAAGGAGCTGCAGAGACACAGACTGGAAGCACAGAGCCTGCAGGGAGTCAAGGTGAGAAAAGAATACCTTCCAGGTAGGACGTGGTGGAGCCTTGTGGCCGTTTAGTGGGCTCGGGAAAGGAGCCCCACCGTGGTTCATCCAGCCGACGGCGTTGGCTTATATGTTGGTTTTGAAGCACTTACGTGTGCTTCTCAAACTGCCTTTGATTCCCTGCATTTCTCATAAACTGAATGAAAATAGCGAACCCACATGCTGGAGAGACTTCACCATTTCCATTTGCAGATGGATCTCATTATGATTTCATGTTCTGTGTATTTTATTTTATTTCTTCATTATGCCGTCGCAGACCCAATTAAAATGATACAGTGATAGGAACGAGACTGTTGATTTATTTTTATACCCTGTTCCTTTTTCAGCTAGTAGCCTTCAGACCTGATTTCTCTGATGTTAAAAATCTCCGCCTGTTTCTTTGGTCTTGACCTTTTTCTTGTATGCCAGTTTGGGAAGATTTCTCTTTACCCATAAAGAAGGAAGGTGATGATGTGCCTCTTTCCCCCAGGATGCTTTGCAGCAACGGCTGGTCCAGCAGGATGCGCTGATTCTCCAGATCAAGCAGGAGCTGCTGAGGGCGAACGTGGACAAGGAGGACCTCCACAGCCAAAATGTGAGCGGGGGTGCCCAGAGCCTGGGGGCCGTTTGGGTCCTTAGTTCAGGGGTGCAGGAATCTAGGAAGACATGCTCTGCATTTCACTTAACTACCCAAACCTTCCTTGCACAGGTGGATCTACAGAGGAAGGTGGAAGAGAAGAATCGACTCTTGGCTGAATACAAGGTAAAGGAGTTTTCCTTTATTTAAAAGGTTTTATCCTTCAGGAGTGTCTGAAGCTATTAAAAAAACAAACAAACCCCAACCAAGTCAATTTTACAAAGTCAGCAGAATCAGCAAAACCAATAAAAGCGAGTCAAGAAGGAAACAGAATCAACAGGAAGAAATCAGATTGTCAAAACATTTGGAATGTTAAGACCCAGCAAGAAAATATTAGTAGCACTAGGAATAAAAAAAGCCAAAGACTTGAATGCCCAGCCAGATGGCAACATGCATGCATGCCGCAAACGGGGCGTGGGGGCAAGAATCTGGGAGTTGTGGTTTTAAAAATTGGCATCCTTATAGTCTAAAAGGCCAGCAACATTAGGGTAGGTGGTGCAGGGGGGGTGAGGGGGTCGGCGGCGGCTAGAGAAGATGATTCCTCTCCGGTGTTAGGGAGAGGGTTGCAGTGAAGAGGTACAGCAACGTTGGATGTTCTTCTCTCGTACCTTCGTAGTTTTTTGTCTCCCTTTGCCCTCGGGTTGGGTCGTGACCGTGGGTTGGCTGGGGACCCTCCCGACGTTCCCCGCAGATCCCTGATGACCCTTCTCTGCCCCCCTCCCCAACTTTGCTCCCCTCCAGTGCAAGCCTTCTTCCCCTACTGATGACCCCAATTCCCACTGTGTTGCAGAAGGAGCTGGGCTTGAAGGACCGACACTTGCACCAGCAGCAGGCCAAGATGGAGGAGATGCTGCAGCAGCTCTCGGAGGCCAGCTATCAGCAGGTATCTTCCCCCCCCCCCCCC